GAGACTCGATGTTATTGGACGCATCAAAGGGTTAAAAGTGTGTTCATTTTATTCTTTTATTATTCAGCGATTCTTCCATGTTCCACTAGATTAAAAGCAGCCTGCGTACCACTAGGGGTAGGCGTACCACAGTTACAGAACCTGATCTAGACAACACAATAACAATGAATTAAATTAGTGAAGAAATTTATTTTTTGTGGAATAATCCTGCTTTTGAATCACAACAAATTAAAACATTTGTTATTCTGACCAATTGCAATAATGCAAAAAAGCTCTAAATCAATTTTTATTTTATTATTTAAAGTATTTTTATTTTAATCAGCAATATATTTTATAAGATGTATACAGAACAAAACAAATAATAATATTTACCTCAAACCCATACCTATTTTTTTTAAAAAGACATCAAGACAAATTGAGAATTTTGAGTGTTGTCTAAATTATTTTTTAAGAAGTTGAACATGTATTTGCAATGAGACAATATTAGTGAACATTCAGATGCCATCCATGCAGCTGTAAGTGACATTTTGGTAAATTGATAAATATATTCTGCCCTCATTACTCTCAATAACACAATAAACAAACAAAAAAAACATCAAATCCTTTTGATTTACCAATCAAAATCATTCAGTCCTTCACATAAAGCCTCAGTCTTTTAAAGATAACCTAACAAGCAGAGAAAGTTCTTTTTTTCTTTTGAGTTTTTACAAGCAGTTCACACATTGGCAATAAAGTGATTAACACATCAAACTCCTACATACAGCTGAAGTCAGAATTATTCGCCTCCCTTTGAATTGTATTTATTTTTGTATATATATTTCCCAAACGATGTTTAACAGAGCAAGGAAATGTTCACAGTATGTTCGATAATATTTTTCTTCTGGAGAAAGTCTTGTTTGTTTTATTTCGGCAAGAATAAAACCAGTTTTTATTTTTTTGAAAACATTTTAAGGTTAAAATTATTTGCCACTTTAAGCTATATTTTTTTAATGGTCAACGGAACAAACCACAGATATACAATAACTTGCCTTATTACCCTAACCTGCCTAGTTAACCTAATTAACCTAGTTAAGCCTTTAAATGTCACTTTAAGCTGTATAGAAGTGTCTTGAAAAATATTCAGTAAAATATTATTTACTGTCATCAAGGCAAAGATAAAATAAGTCAGGTATTAGAGATGAGTTATTAAAACTATTATGTTTAGAAATGTGTTTAAAAAAATCTGCTCTCCGTTAAACAGAAATTGGAGAAAAAATTAAACATGGGGCTAATAATTCAGGGGGGCTAATAATTCTGACTTTAACTATATACAGTCTGTAGCTGCTGCTTTAAGTCTTATTTTCTAGTCAGTTCAATCCCAAATCCTCCAATACTCTCTTTTCAACAAGTCACACAAATGGAGAAAGATAAATGATGTGCCTTACTTTAATTCTTAAGATTTGTTTTAATTCCTAAGTTGAATGAATAAGAATAAGAATGAACACTAACATTCTTGCCTTCACCAACTAATTAAATCCCATTTGAACATTTACAGAGATAGCTTAGTGTTCCCATTTGTTTTTATGATCCAAAAACAAAGGTTTACATCAAAGCCTCCATCTTCGACTGAAACGAATGTGTTTTTGGTGTTACTGATTCAGCCCTACCATTTATCTGACTCCCTGCACAGACGCTTGCTCTCAAACAATAGGACAAATGAGGCTTTTGTCTGTTCTGAGAAATCTTAGATATGGAAAAAGCAGACTTCCCACTTCTCTTATAAAATAAAGCAGAAGAAATCAGCCATTGTTCAGGTAGAGTCAGGAAATGAGTCTATTTTCAGAGGGGTAACACACAGGTCAGTGGCAACATTTCCCTTTGCCTTCTTTTGATATACAGCACAGAAGACAACAAAATAAAAAATGAACCGCTTGATTGAGTTTTCACAGTCTGAGAGTTTATTTCTCAGATCGCACATGGGAATTGGTTCATGTGTCATCAGTGGGCCAAGCATCTGGTTTCAGTTTGTTTGTGACAGTAAGCTTTGGGAACCTAAGTTCCATAATACAACCCTGAGCAAGGACTTCCCGTGTATTTTAAATGCAAATCGCTATACAGTCGTGGAAAGTATTTCACATGCACGATTAAAAACCCCTTCCTTTGTTTACGGATGTGTCTCCCTTCCCAAAGGACTCAAAAACAAAAATAAGCCTCAAACAGTAGGACTAAGTTTTCCACTCTTTAACCGATCGCTTCATTTAGAGCTGTGAAAAGTGATTACCCAGAGGTCAGTGCTTACACAAACTAACCCTTGACTTTGACCTTGATTTTAATAATAAATTTGACCTTAAAGTACTTTCTTAATGTACCTTCAGGTCAGAAACTATGTCCGTCTAAATGTTTCTGACTTTGATGTTTTATCATTAGAAGGCAAATTATTTGATTTATTTTTAAACTCTCCAAATGCCAAGGGCCTAACCTCCTTATTTGTTGATGCTTTTAAAAACAACAGATTTCTCTTCATTTGAAAGTCGCTTGGGAAGAAGACCTAGGGATTTTAATCTCTGAGACTGATTAGGATCAACGCTTTTTATCTGTTTAATCACGTTCTACAAATTCAATACACAACCTTATTCAGTACAAAGTATTACACAGACTTTACTATTCTAAAACAGAGCTCAGTAAATTCTATCTCTTCAGCCTGCGACCCCTAAAATAACAACTCCAGTGACTCGCAACCCCCACTATGCTCGGAAATGGTTATAAGCATACAAATATTGCACACAATTGTGCACACTTACCAATAGGAACTATATGAACATATGCATATTAGCAACACAAAAAAGAGCAACAGTCTTACCATGTATGTTTTTATAATCATTATTCATTTCTTTAATTTATTATTAACCTCACTTCAACAAGGAGATCATCCTCCTTGTTAAGTCGTGGTATTCATTTTTAATATGTAAGTGCCAATATTGTACCGCAAAATAAATCTGCTGCAATTACAGCTATTGTTGTGATGAACGCTATTGCTGTAATCCAGCATAATAACCCCAGGGGTCACAAATAAGATATAATAATTGATAAAATATGATAATAATAAAATATATTAGATTTTTGGAAATCACCAAACGACCCCTCCTTATTGTCTCATGACCCCCCAGTGGGTCCCGACCTTTGCACGTCTTTTTTGGTCCTTATTGTTTAATTTCAAAATTTTTGGTCAGAAGTATTTCAGTTCTTTGCTAAGGTTTATGATTGTGTTTACTCCCTGATCCAATGATAGGAATTTTTATCTGGTCAAATTTTTCTGCAGACTCTCAACCAAAATGTTTAGTGATCATGGCTAAGAAAGTTATCCTTTCGTTAGGCCTCTTTTTCTTACTGGTTTCTTGAACTTACTTTCACTTTACATTTGGAAAGAATTAGATATGCCATCTTTGGGGACTCTGCAAAATTTGATAAAATGTGGGATTCAGTCTTTTTTTAACACAACATAAAGTCTAATAATGTTTCATTTTTGAAGATTCGTAAGGTTTTTGTCTCCTCTTTACATCCATTGCAGTTTATTTTTGTAGGTCGCCATTTTCCCTTGTTTCCTGCTTTATTTTACATTTTGCACAGATTACTGTTTCATGATGGGTTTGTCTGTCTGTTCTTTGTTATTCTATGTCTGCCAAAGCTATAATAAAAATACTGACTTGTAGCGATTTTAATTTTATCGAATTTCTTCATCGGCCGTCAAGCTAAGGACACAATGTGATTGACAAGTGTAATTTTTAATGTTTTAGACTGTCAGAACATTATTGTATTGATGTAGACATAAATCAGTAAATGATTATAACTGATATGCAATTTTCCTGTGAAATCATGTCTTTGAAGGTGAAGGTAAATATTTCTTGTGTGGTTAATTATGGAATAATGAAATGAAAATGAGATTGTTTTTAACCATTGAGTGGCCATCTAACCAATGACGCAAAGTGATTGATTGTGGGATAAAAGGGTGGAGTGAGAGGATTATGTCACACACTGAGGAAGGCATTGTGCCGAAACGTTTGTGATTTGTATCACCCAGAGAACGTAAAATAAAAACTGTAATCATTTCATAATGGCAGAATCATAATCTAAGCAATTATTTGACGAGTGTGAATCATGACCTTTTCATCATCACGTTATATTCAAAGTTTCTATTGAGACTTTAAAATTAAGCTTTAAATGTCTGTTGTCATAATTTATGAAGTCGTTAACTTAAAAATATCATATATTTAGTAATATAGCCTTTTATTGTGTACAAGTTACTACTAAATCGTCCTCGAAGGTGCATACCTCACTTTGTCTGGCTAGCGGAAGAGCAAAGTTTTTCCACCACAGTGAAAATGTGTTTTTAAAAGTTTGAAAGAGATGTCTGAAGTTAAGCTTTTGCTATTAGAAAAGTATGTTTTTGTTAGCATAAAGATACTAGACAACAGAGGCAGGTACTGTATATTCAAAGACTCTGGAAAAAGTAGCAGAAGCTGAGATGCTTGTGGTTAATTTGACTGCTATCATCATTCAAAGTAAAAATGCTCAGAACTCTCGTGATTTTAGTGAGTTAGAATGAAAGATAACACTTTACTTTAATGATCAATTCACAGCATTTATAAGCACTTTTAAATTATGATGTTATTTTACATCCTAATTCTACCCAATACCTAAACCTAACTACTACGTTACTACCTATTTATAAGCAGCTAGTATTTTATTGAGTTATTGAGAAAAGTCTTAGTTAATGGTTTGTTAATAGTGTGAATTGTACAGTAAAACAAAGTGTGACCGAATTAAATATACACACATAGGAAAAGTCATGGCACTATAGTTATATGGGTTTTATTTTACCGAAACTGGAAAATGGTCAAAATGACTGCCTCTGTAATTCTAGATTTAGTGTATAGCCTACATTCACTGGCATGGTACAGTGTATCATACTATACATATCCCTACAGGATGTACAACAAAAACAACAACAAAAACAAGCTTACCATCCTCACTGGTGTGGGTCTCTGCTCCTCCATCCTGATCAACCTCTTCAAGAGCTCCATGTTCACTGTATGGACTCTCACTGCAGAAAACAGAGGACATCAATTCATTAACTCATCAAACAATATAGAAACTACTGTAGTTGAAACACTTAACATTTCTGTATCTGATTTTTCTGTAAAACTAGAAAGTAACTCAATGTTTCTCATGAGCTTAAAAACATTTCAGCCTAAAGGCTTGAGGTAACTTTATATATAGAGTATTCATTGACATTAATTACAATACAACTTTTCATAAAAGATCTATGAATCAAAAAAGACTTCAATGCATTAAGTCATCATGTGCCTACAGTGATATGGATAGGAACTACTGTATACTCTCATTCTGGCGTAATAGTAAAGGGAATTTGCTGCAGTATCATGGCTGCAGCAGGCACAATGATATTACACAGCATTGTTAGGTAGTTACTTGGCTGGGGACTATTTTCAGGTGCTGCGTAACAGGGATGGTGTGGGGGTGGGGGGCTTTGGGGGCTTAAGTAATCAAATAAAATAATCTGTAATCAATAAAATGTGTGTCATATCAATGTAAATACATGCAAAGTATTCAAAAAAACTTAAATTGTACTAGCTTTCTAGATATGATATAGATATCTAGACATATTTATCTAGATATGATATAACCAGTCACATCTGTTTCTATTATAGTTAAATCACAGTGAGTTCATACATCTGGCTTATTATTTATAGCTATATTCTACTGTAACTTGCTATGTCAGTTAAAATCAGATTATAAATTGACTTTATTCTAATGGAAATTCCTAAGATGGCTGGAAGAACAAATATAGACTATTTATTGTTGCAGGGGGTGTTCAGCCGGGTGAATTAGAACTTCTTTTTTTTTTTGGGACGGTGTGGGAAGACTTCTATGGGGCTAAGCCCCTTATCCTTTTTGAACCTAGCAACGCCCCTGCTGCGTAATATCATTGTGCCTGCTTCAGCCATGGTATGGTACCAAAGTTCCTCAAATAATATGCCAGAATTAGAGTATAGTTCCTATCCGTATCCACCTCAAAAATAGCAAAGTTTCATTTTCTGTCTGTCTTAGTACACTACAGAAGGGTCAAGCTGTAAATGGGAAAACTATCAAAAGTCTTCTTTTTTTTTTTTTTAAGATTTTTAAACGAGATACAAATGGTCTAATCTGATTTAATGGTTTATGCTAAGCTAAACTAAAATTAGGTTATTAAACAAAAGCTAATATTATTGTCAAAAGCACATGCAGTTGCAAATAGCAATAACTTCCTACAACACTCTGCCTGGAAATGGTTGCTGCTAGATCGAATACGGTTGCGGCCGGAAGTTAACGAGAATTATTTATATTATTTATTAAATTTCCCATTTATTGTACTTTATTAACGTCTACCCCCACCCCAACCCTAAACCCAACCGTCACAGTAATGTAAAAACAGTAGTTGTACCAAGTATTATTTATGTTATCAATTAAATTACCCAATAAATTGTATTTTTAACGCCTACCCCCACCCCAACCCAAAACCCAACTGTCACAGTACTGTTAAAATATTGTTTATTGTTATACAGTGTCAACAAAAAAATGCTGCTTTATTAATGTGCATATCGAACTTCCGGTCAAACTTCTAGACTTTCCCCTGGAGGTTTCTAGTATACCTAGAAAGACTTTAATCAGCTAGTTCAGGTGTGTTAAATTGGGATTGGAGATAAACTCTGCAGGACAGCAGCCCTCCAGGACCGAGTTTGGGCACCCTTGCTTTAAACTAAATCAAAATGCTCCTGACAGACCTGGAAATCAGCTTTATGGATTAAAATAAAGGTAAAACTCAACTGTTTAACTTATCTGAGGTACAGTACAGTTGCTTGTAAAATTAGCCTATTTCCCAAAAAAATGTGTAGTGTTACTTTAAATACTGTAAGTGCACAGGGAAACACAGAGTTAAGTACGGGCCAGAGTGAAACTCAGCATAAGTACAGAGGCTGTCATTAGTATTCAGGAGGAGTTAGACTGGCTGATTGGGAGTCTGTCAGGGGCACAGTGTGGTTACTGAGAATGGCAGTAATGCCCTTCACATCCTCAGATTCCCTCTGACTCACGGTAAAGCCCCTTTCAAACAGTGCACCACCATGTTCGCAAAGGGGAAAATCTAAGACGCCACTTTTAGGAGGCTGGATGTAAAATATCTGAAACGCTCGCAACGGCAGGTGTCTTGCTTCAGTTTGGGCGATGAAGGCTTGTGGGAGTTTGCCTGCTCTTTTTGAGACAACAAAATCACTAGCCAACAACTACACACAGCTGTGGAGCTGGTGGAAAACGTCTCTTTCCTTTTTTCCTCCATGCATGTTTCATTGAGAAATGAGCTCTGGTTTGGCTGGGGATCTTTCTTTACTTTAATGGTGGCAATTATCAAGATGATTTCAGTCTGCCTCACCTAGTTGAGAACCTCCAAACCTTTCAGCCTTTAAAAATGTAAAGGAGTTCACAATCTGTACCTAATCTTTTCATATTATTACCCATTCTGGATACAAACATGGCTCAGACGCAGCCAGACACACTCAAGGCCTGGTACAGTATGATCTCATAGAGGAAAAATGAGAAATACTATAATTCAACACATTCATTTTCTTTTCGGCCTAGTCCCTTTATTAATCTGGGGTCGCCAGAGCGGAATGATCTGCAAACTTATCCAGCATATGTTTTACACACAACGGATGCCCTTCCAGCTGCAACCCATCACTGGGAAATAAATGATTATAATTTCAAATTATAATAAAAGTTCAACTAAATTTGTTTATTAAACAAAGACTAATAAAATTTTCAAAAGCATATAGCACCTACTAACACTTAATAATAATATATATATATATATATATATATATATATATATATATATATATATATATATATATATATATATTTTTTTTTTTTTTTATATATATATATATTTCATGCCATTACACAGTTAACTAACACTTAATTTAAATCATAAAACAGTACAGTAAATAACTAAATTAAAATTAAAAAAAGTTGAACAAAAACAAGCTTTTTAAAACTTAGAAATGTAAGTAATTAAATATATATATATATTTTTACATTTCAGCAAGTAAACAAATAAATGTTTATAAAAGCTAAAAATTCCCCTAAATTAAAATAGATTATTAGGTAAATAAACAAAACTTAGACATATTAAAGGAGTAATAAATATGACCCACAAAAACACATAAAAAGTGAAAATAAATCTTCAGGGTTTCTGCAGGTTTTACCAAGTCAAATTTAAGACTTTAAGACCTTTTTAATACAATAAAGAATGAAATTTCAGACATATACAGGGCTAAATTTTTTTTAATTTAAAGGTCCAGCAAAAAAAAGTACTTGCCCCATCAAAAAATGAACTCTATTTAGTTATTTCTTAGCCACACATTTTAAATAATGTGTCAAAACAAGCAGAGCCTAGTTGTACACACATTTCTTTTCAAAAAAACTTTTGAAAATTATGTACTAAAAACTTAATATGTGAAATAAAATATAATAAATTATTCTTTTTATTGAATGTTTACAATGCAAATCCTAATAGATCCATTTATTTAGTAAACAATGCTAGTTTCACATGTATCCACCATATATCTACTAAAAAACTTTAAGTTATTAATTTCTAATAAGAAATGATTACTTTACAAATGGTATTGCATATAAATCATATGAACATTTTCATATTAGTCAATAATATTACTGAAATTAAGTTAAAAACTGGATAGATATAAATTTACACACATTTACAGACAACTACATAAATGAACAGTGGTTGGACTCTTAGCAGTGAATATTAAACCAATATTTCAATTCACTATAATCTACATTGTAAAAGTGCTAGAGAAATAAAGATGAATTGAATTGAATTGATTAGACTAACAAATGGGCTGAAAATCTGCAGATTTCTGCACATGCAGATTCCGTGTGGGCCTAATTATGAATATAGTTTTGCAAAAAAAAGTATTGAGATATATTGCTGGTGATTGGGTAGCCTTACATAAACAATGGAAATTTAAGACCTGTTAAAAATGATTTAAGACCTAATTTAAGACCTAATTTTTAAGACCCCACAGATACCCTGTAATCAATAAAAACTTTGACTATACTAAAATAAAACTAATAACAAGGTTCTCAACATTTTAAAATCAAAATAATCTTCAAAACAAAGTGGACACACACAAACACTGCCTCACTATAGCACTGACTAATATTCATTTATTTCAATTTAATCAAACCATTTTATTTGAGTCACGCCATGGAAAGTCCATACACCACCACTAATCCATCTCCAAAAATACAGAGTTTAAAAAAGCTCAAACACAGCCTCAGTCCTCATCAGCTCCTGAACATCTCCCAGACACAGACGTCCAGACAGTTATCAATCAATTATTAAAACCCTCTCCTTTTACTCACCAATAATCTCCACCTGCCATACACTTCTCATACAGGGGGCCGTCTAGCTCCTTGGAGTCAGGAAAGATGGTTTCGTGGTGGATGATGATGGTCTTGATGACCTCATTGACGTGGGCCTGGCAGGACACCTGGTCCTGGGTTTCGGGAGTGGGCATCAGGGTCGGCCCAAAGCAGATGGCCAGATTATAGGGGTCCATCATGTTTTCATCACTGTACTGGGACAAGCTGCAAAAAACACAATTAGCATATTAGTATATTTGTTACCAATAAAAAAAAATAGAGAGATAGAAAAATGCTCGAAAACATGGTGGTTGTATAAATTTGTGGTTGGTAATGTAAAATGTGGTGGTGTGCTAATATAATAACCTTAAAATGTAAATGTTTTTAATGAAATATTGTAAGTACGGCTCTGAAAAAATAAAAGGCTGCTTCAAAGTTAATATCAGTTTGCATTAAATTAAATTAAATTAAATTAAATTAAATTAAATTAAATTAAATTAAATTAAATTAAATTAAATTAAATTAAATTAAATTAAATTAAATTAAATTTTACCTGGTTTGCCATTAAAAGGTGTGTGTTTTGAGTAAAAAATGTCACATGTTTATCTTAAAAACTACTCTAAATGTGTATTCAAAAAGACAAATAACAATATTATAATTAAAGCATACATTACATGTTTTTCAGACCTTAAATATTTGAAATAAATATATTTGTAAGACAGATAAACTTACTGGTTGAGGAAGGCGAACAGATATCGCATGACCACAAGCACTGATCTGGGTGCAGTCAGAAGGATCTTTCGAATATACAACGCTCTTTCATACAGATTTTCTATTCCTGAGAGAGAAAGAGAATAAGAAATCATATAAATATCTAACAGCAGCATGATTATCTATATATTTTCACATATTAATGTACAAATTCCTGAGTTCTAGACACATGCTAGTTCTGCCATTGTCACCCACAGCACAGACTATTCAAAACAGGAGTGCCCAAACTCGGTCCTGGAGGGCCGGTGTCCTTCAAAGTTTAGTTCCAACACCAATCAGACACGCCTGGGCTAAATAACTATGCTCTTACTCGGCTTTCTAACATCCGTGCAAGTGTGTTGAGGCGAGGTGGAGCTAAAATCTGCAGGACTAAAACACCAAACATGATGACAAACACGCACAAGAAAAGGTAGAGACAAAACGAATAAATTCAATAGCAAAAAGTTCACTAGTAATACTTACTGATATCTAAAACTAAAACTAGTCTTGAGAATTTAAAAACAAATTAAAATAATTTCGCAAAAGGAAACAAAATGCCCTTGCACAAAATCAAACTGGATTAAAGAAGCTTAAATTAAAAAGGCAATAAACTTGTGCTCATTTAAACTAAACTTGTGGGTGTGTTTTCCCTCACACTGGGCCTAATGAAGCTGATTAACTGTGCATTAGGAGAGATAAAGTCTCAAAACTATTCAACTCCTCTTTCTAAAGCTTAAAGCTTAAAGATTAATCCAGAAGACTGGCATCCCAGATATCTAGTAGTCCTGCAGCTCTCCATGTGAATGTGGAAACATTTCCTTGGGTTTTCTCCCCTGAGTCTTCTTTACTGTATAACTTGTTCCCTGTCCCCTTCCAGGACTCCAGTACACATCTTTGTGGTCTCCCTAGTAGTGCACACTCAGACTGGCTGTTTACTCAAGACACGTACACACTGCAGCCTAATCTGGTTGTCAGTTCACCTTTAAGTGTGTAATCCTCCTCTGTTCACACACAGTTCAGTCATGTACTAGAGTGACAACAGTTTTCGACAACTAAATGAACTCCAGAAAAATGCAGGTATACTGACAACCACACTCAAAATGATCATGCACAGTGTGTACGAAGCCCACCTGAACAACATTTTAATGCCCATCAGACATGTCTGACGTGTGTATGAGCGCAATAATAATCGAATGAGCAGACAAATAATTCTCAGGAGCTGGAAATCAGAGGATGTCCCTTCATTTCGGTGTCTGCTTTAAAAAAATGTCATATAAGCAGATGGACAAAGTATACTTATACAAATACAAAATGGTCTAAGTACACTATTTGGAAATGGGTCAAAGATTACAATGAGTGAGAAATATTATGACAATGTAAATTTGATAGGTTTATAAGAACTGATTTTATTTATTTCCCATTTATATTTAGCATATTCAAATGATTATCATCATGGCATTCTAGTTCTGTTCTTCATTAATCCAGTTATACAGTATACAGTTTTAAAGTAGGCCATAATCTTTTGCAACTAATTTCAAATACGAATATTTTCAAATATATATTCCCCTCAAATTAAAGTTTGTAATATTTTGACTCATGCCTCAAAACTTTTAGTAACACTTTAGCATAGGCACCAATTCTCATTATTAACTTAGTGGCTATTAAGTAAAGAATACTCACTATTAACTTCAAAATCAAGTAAAGAATAATAATAATAATACTAATTCCTTACATTTATATAGCACTTTTCTGGACACTCAAAGGGCTTTACACATTTTTGGTGGGAATCTCCTCATCTACCAGCAGTGAATGACGTGGCAGCAGCCAAACTGCACCAAATCGCACACCAGCTGATTGGTGAAGAGGAGACAGAGTGATGAAGCCAATTATGGTATGGTGATGGTTAGAAGGCCATGATAGGCAGAGGCCAGTGGGCAAAATTGGCCAAGATGCCGGGGTTAAACCCCTACTCTTTTTCGAAGGACATCTTGGGATTTTTAACGACCACAAAGAGTCGGGACCTTGGTTTAACATCTTATCCAAAAGACAGCGCTCGCTGTGCAGTATAGAGTTTCCTTCACTATACTGGGGCATTAGGACCCAAACAGACCACAGGACGGGTGCCCCCTGCTGGTCTCATTAACACCACTTCTGGCAGCAACCTAGCTTTCCCATGTGGTCTATCATCCAGGTACTGACCAAGCGCGGCCCTGCTTAGCTTCAGTGGGCGATCATGTGAGAACTGCCGGTCGATGTCCTTTAATGCAAACTGCCATTAGAACTTTACATACTGGGTTTTAGGGTTTAACTTAGTTTAAATGTGATTTATGTAATGATGGTGAATGTATTTGTGTTGCCTGTTTTCTGTGATATGTGTAATGTGAATGCTGATGTGGTTGTGTAGTGAAGCCAAAGATAAATTTCCACTTGTTAAGACTTAAATTTTAGTCCTTTTTTTCTGCCTGCTAACACAAAATGGGTTTAAAATGCAAAATAAGCTTTTTAAATCGCTTATTTTTACACATAAATCTTGTATCCAATAACTTTAGCATTCAACTATCTGAAATGCCTGCATGCTGCGATACATATTACTGTTAAAAATACTAAGTGAGCACAGCCCAGAATGCCTTATGCTGATTCCAAACATAGCTTCAGATTAACAACTACATCTTGACCTCATCAGATCCCATGCGCTGGCTTAGAAAAGCACAGGCAGTCTCTGTTGAAAAGAATTAAAAACTGATGTGATCTGCTCTCATCCATATTATACCCCAATCCATCCTCTACTCGCAGCTTAAAATAGCCACATTACGTTACAAAAAAAAAAAAGAGAGGGGCATTTGGGAAGATGCTACTCATGTAATTTATCTTACTTGAGCGCAAAACTGCAAGTTTTCAACACGGATTCTGAACACAAGATGCAATTTGAAGACACTGTCAAGCTTGACTTTGGACAAGGCGCAAGTTTTTATCTACACGACATGAACTGATCTCCTACAGTGCAGTGAACGAGCCGCTCTGACACTCTATATATAGATCTGCTGGGGATAGAGAACAGGAGAGGCCGTGTGTGGAATGCTGGGTAAATGTAAACAGCAGGGAATCCCCATTAGTCACACATTGCGGAGTGTCACAGGGTTTGTCTGAACACACGGCTTGACATTCCTGCGCACGTACAAACAAAACCCACCCAACACACACACACACAAACTCACAGTCCTTTAATCTAGCAAACTCTGCAGTCTATGACATGAGGAGCAAATATTTACATACAGTGTCATGTAAAGTTACAAGCTATATTTTTATGCTACAAGTAGAAATTCACTGCAAATTTCTAAATGTTTTTTAAGCATGAATAATAAATACATCCTGGTTAATGCTTAAGCATAATAAAAGCACATAAATATTAATTATTTGGCTAATTTTAAATAAAGACTATTAATTATTTGGCTACATCTGCTTATTATTACTGACATAAATTCATACAGTAAATGCCTTTTTTGTATTTTGGCAGTGATTAAAACTAACATTTTTATAAGCAAAGGACAAAAACATAACTTATATATTAAACATATAATACAGTATATTTGTCTTGTGCCATCTCACAAAAAATAAAAACAATCTTTTGATATCTTATGCACACAATATCTGCATTTTTGAGCTGATCAATACAAAAAAACACTTATATTGTAAAACAGTATCAACATTTTTACAAGTTTAAAATACAATTTATTGCTGTGATGGTAAAGCTGAATTGTCAGTATTAGTATTTCAGTCTTCAGTGTCAGATGTTCTTCTAAAAAAAACATAATATGTGCTGATTTCCCGAGAAATATTTCTGATTTTGACCAACGTTGAAAAGAAAAAGCATGAATGAATGAATGAATGTGTGTCTGTGTGTTTTAATAGAAACTAATTATTTAATTCAGGAAATATGCAATAAATAAAATATAAATTAAAATAATATAATGTTACAGGGGTGTCCAATCTCGGTTCTGGAAAGCCAAAGTCCTGCAGATTTCAGCTCCAACTTGCCTCAACACACCTGCAAGGATGTTTGTAGAAAGCCTAGTAAGAGCTTGATCAGCTTGCTCAGGTGTGTCTGATTGGGATTGGAACTAAACTTTTCCAACAGTATCTGGATGCAGTCTTAATGATGCAAGCTGAGATTGCATCACTCAACGATGCAATGTCAGACACAATGCACTCAATGGAGTGAGTGATGTCACTGTGAGCAGTAGGGTTAGGGGTGGGGTTAAGTGAGCGCATTAAAAAGCATTGGAAGCAGCTTTTACACTGATTACACTGCACCAGGTTTGCATCCAGACCCCTCTCAACTTTTCAGGACACCAGCCCTCCAGGACCTGTTATATATTCTTCAAACATTCCTAAAAAAAAATTTAGGAAAAAACTTTCCACAAAAAAATAAAGCTGCAAACAAAAAACATTTAAAATACATTGACGATAAGAGCAGTTAAGCCACTGTGACACTTTTCTCCTCATAAATTTCCTTACATACACACATGAATGCGTCAGACCGGAAAAGCAAGCTTGTGCGACAAGTTAAGCAGTTCACTGCAGTGCAAAGTTCAAGCTTTGTGAATTGTGACCTGCGAAATCACAACACGTGACTGTGTAAGACCATTTGAAGATTAAAACATGACCTTTCTGGACAGAAATGTATTATATACAGTATACATCAAATCACTTGCTTTTTACTTGTAGCAGTGCGATATGGCTATATATCGGCACTGGTGGGAGGCGTGCGTTGTGCCCCAACTAGTGCCGATATACAGCCATAACTTATTTGTTTTATTTCAGCTGGAATAAAAGCAGTTTTTTATTTTTTATGAACCATTTTAGGGACAAAATTATCATTAGCCCCTTTAAGCTATTTTTTTTTGTTAGTCTACAGAACAAACCATCATTATACAATAACTTGCCTTATTTCCCTAACCTGCCTAGATAACCTAATTAACCTAGTTAAGCCTTTACATGTCATTCTAAGCTGAATAGAAGTATCTTATATCTAAGATGTTGTCATATATTATTTATTGTCATCATGGCAAAGATAAAATAAATCAGTTATTAAAACTATTATGTTTATAAATGTGTTGGAAAAAAAATCTTCTCTCCGTTAAACAGAAATTGGGGAAAAAATAATAATAATTCAGGGGGGCTACTGACTTCAACTGTAAAATGTTTATATTTGTTTATATATATATATATATATATATATATATATATATATATATATATATATATATATATATATGTGTGTGTGTGTGTGTGTGTGTGTGTGTGTGTGTGTGTGTGTGTGTATATATTAAGGGTGGAGCCGAACCCGAATACGGTATTCAGAAAGGCACGAATAGCGTGTTTTTACGAATACTTGATTCGAACAAATACTTGAAAAATTATTTGTATTCGGGAGCAAGAAAAACACTATATCAAAAAGCAGAGTATCCTCATGAGACCACAGTGCATGCCCGCGTGAGTGAGTGAGAGAGAGAGAGAGAGAGAGAGAGAGACAGAGGCAAAACGCGCCAAAGCCCGAAACTGAAAGCGAGACGTGACTTTTAAGGGGTTGTTTCATATGGATTTATTAATCATTCTTACTGTTCAGTGATCGCAAACTGCCGTAGTTTATTAAAGACGCAAACTGCTCACTGCACGTCAGCTGCGCGCCTTCAGCAGACCTCCTCATTCCTGCAGCACGAGAGCTTTATGATTGTTTATGCGCGCCAAAAGTGGCGGATCTGTCCGGTGAAATATCTGACTGCGTGTCACCGCATCCCTAAGGACTGTTTGGCGAAATATTTGACTGCATGTCACTGCATAACAAACGACTGAAAGGATATAACCAGAGAACTCTCCACTGTGCTACTGGGTGAGAGCGTATGGCAAGCCGTTTTAGCATTTAAACCTTGTTCAGACTATCCATAAATATATTTAGAGATATCTCTAATTATATTTTGACTTGTCATAATTATAATTCGACTAGTCAGATTGGAAATATCTGCAAATATATTATGGCTGACCAGTCATATTCCTCCATTGACTTCCATTGAAAAATATTTGCAGATATCTCTAAATAAGTTTTGACTAGTCACAATTGTAATTAGATATATCTCCAAATGAATTTTGACTAGTCAAAAATCCAATTCAAGATATCTACAACTGTAATTAGACTTTTAGTAAATTAATTAGAGATATCTTCAAATATATTTGTAAATATCTCTAAATATGATGAATTAAAGATATCTCTAAATGTATTATGACTAGTAAAAACTCAAAAGAGATATCAATCACAATTGTTACTAGTCAAAATTCATCTGATTTCGTACTAGAACAATTGTAATTGCAGATATGTCTAATTGTCATTCTGAGTAGTGGAATTATAATTATGACTAGTCAAAATATAATTAGAGATATCTCTAATATATTTATGGAGTCAGAAGAAAGATTTAAATGCTAAAAAGGCTTGCCATAGAGAGCGCTTCTCACTGAACAGAGCACCGCGCAACCTTCTATGTAATGTATTATTACATGCACTAAAAGCATCCTAAAAGCATCAACACAGCCACATTCTGCCCCAGCAAGTCAGTTTCAAACATAAAAAAACAAACAAACAAACAAACTTTGTGTCTTTTTTTGTGGCTGGCAGATGATAAAAGCAGGGCTGTATCTTTTAGTATTATATAGAATACTTTTGTTCTGCCAGATGTCCCGGGCAGGGTTGTATTTAGATTTATTTAGCTAATTTTAGTTTTTGGAATTCTGTGCATTGGAAAGAAGTTCTTTCAGAAGAAGAACAGTTTTTTGAAGTATTATTTGTTTTTATTCTGTCTATTCAGTGTCCTTCAACAAGAACGGTGGTGGTGGGGTTCATAATATTCACAATGGTATTTTATTAGTTGTTGGTTTAACCATGGATGAGATAATGGCTTCTATGTTATTTTCTTTTCAATGACATTTCTTATCACATGTTCAAAAACAACAGCCAATATTGCATGTCTATAATTTATATAATGGGTATAATTAAACAATACTTTCACTATAACGTAAATTAGAAGTGTAATAGAAAAAATATATATTTTTGCGCCATTTTGAATATTACTCGTATACAAATACAAATACAAATACCTGCTGCTCCGCACATCCCTAATATATATATATATATATATATATATATATATATATATATATATATATATATATATATATATATATTTTTTTTTTTTTTTTTTTTTTTTAAATAAATATTTATATATTTTAATTGAAATTTATTTTGGAAACTTCACATCCAAAGTGGCATAGCTCACATACTTCATCCAAACTTCACATATCACAAACCTCCCATTAACCCAAAAGAAAGCACCAAGCATCACAGTGTCATACCGCAGGCATTCAGTGCAGTGTAGCGTCATCAACGATCATGATAAAGCTCGCTTTCTGAACACTTTCAATCTCACACAAAGTTGCATTCATGCCAGCTGAAGGTCCAACTGAAGCTCTAATGTGTCATCCGGTGGTGGGACACACACTGCGCTGTAATAGAGTGTGCCTAACACTGTTAGCATTAGCCTGAGGCACTGCATAGCTGGTCATACAGTGAAGACAGCCACTGTGCCGCAGTTGGGGGCAAATGACTGAGATCTCTTTATCTGAGGGCTCACGATAACAGTTCAAAGCTCTGTTAATTCACACTGAGAATCAATGACAAATTTACAGCTGAGAGACAGAGAAAAAAAAAGAGAAAAATGACTTACTGATACAGGAGATGAGATCATTGAATCTTTCCTTTGGAAACAGAGGGTTCTCCAAGCCCCGAAAGTAGAGTTTCAAAACGCCAGCGACAGAGTTTATATCGTGGTTATTCTCTTCGTCTGTCAGTGGATCGTTCCCTATGAGACATACCATATGTGTCATGTCTATGGTTTAGGTTTAAATTGACTCTATTGCTATTTATTTTATTCATATACACAGCATCTATGTAAACATTAGACAAACAGATATCTAAATAATAATCAATAGAGATAAGAAAGAAAGAAAGAAAGAAAGAAAGAAAGAAAGAAAGAAAGAAAGAAAGAAAGAAAGAAAGAAAGAAAGAAAGAAAGAAAGAATAGACAGACAGACAGACAGACAGACAGACAGGTAGATAGATAGATAGATAGATAGATAGATAGATAGATAGATAGATAGATAGATAGATAGATAGATAGATAGATAGATAGATAGATAGATAAGACAGACAGGCAAATAGACAGACAGACAGACACATGGGTGGACAGATATACAAATGGACAGACAGACAGAGAGGCAAATAGGCAGACAGGTAAAAAGATAGACTTATAGACAGACAAACAGACAGAGAGACAGATAGACAGGCAGACAGATAGACAGACAAATAAACAGATAGGCAGACAAGCAGACAGACAGACAGGCAACTAGGCAGACAGGCAAAAAATAGATACTCATAGACAGACAAACAGATAGACAGGAAGACAGATGGATAGACAGGCAGACAAATTGACAGATGGACAGACAGACAGACAGACAGACAGACAGACAGACAGACAGACAGACAGACAGACAGACAGACAGACAGACAGACAGACAGACAGACAGACAGACAGACAGACAGACAGACAGACAGACAGACAGACAGACAGATAGATAGATAGATAGATAGATAGATAGATAGATAGATAGATAGATAGATAGATAGATAGATAGATAGATAGATAGATAGATAGATAGAAAGTTGTTTGTTTTGCCAAAGACTTAGTGAAGAAAGGAAGTGTTCTGAACCATGTGCCTTTATGTTCAAGGTTAATATGACTCATTGAAAACATTAGAGATTCATTATTATTCAGCAGCGACAGCACTTTCAGAGCTATTTCAGAAATCTGAACTCTGTTGCCACATGCACACACACACACACACACAAACACACACACCTCTCTCAAATGAATTCTTGATATCATTGACTTCAACTTGAGATCCAGGCACTCTGAATATTCCTTGATGTTGGAGGCCTAAAGAAACACAGAAAGAGAGAGAAATGAGGTAAGTGTTTAAATAAGACGTTTTCCAGTGTCCATTTAAATTTGCTGGAAATAAAGGCCGGTCCACAGTAACCACATTCAAATCCCAAACTCTGCTAAGCTAAGCCCTGCGCTTTAGAAAAGTGCCCTTTTTCTAATTAAAGATAATGAATGAAGGAGAGAGACCGCAGTCGACTTATACAAAAATATCTGTCAGTCCGGATTAGCTTTTAATGGAAAGCTTGGCTGAGGGTCAGAAAAGATTAATTAAAAACTTCTCTATAGTTCCAGGACAACGGCCACACACAGACAACTTTCAGCACTTACAATAGACACAGATCCAAGACAGTGTTCCCACAGTTTTGATAAAAACCTCTTTGGACTGAAGCTAAATATTTGGTACTAAAAAGCATAGTTCACCTAAAACTGAACATTCTATTATCATTTATTCACCCTTCACTTTTTCCAAACCTGTTTGTCTTTCTTCCTTATGTTGAACACAAACAAAGATATTTTGAAGAGAGCTAGATTTCAGCTTTCAACAGAATTAAAAAAACTCTTATCATACACCCGGTGCAATTATGCGCAAGGCATGTTTGGCATGATTTGTTGCTATTTTCAGACCAGCGCAACTGTAATTTTACCATTTTGCACCACATTTTTTAAATAGCAAATAAATTTCCGCCATTTTGTGGACTCATGAGTGTGCCGGTTTATAAATCAGGTGTGTTAAGGTGCATTGTTGGCGCGTTGCTATTTTAAGGAATTAAAATAGACTGCGATATTGACCAACTAAAAACTGGTCTAAAGTTCAACGCAGAGTGCGTTAGTTGTGCGCCTATGCAGGTCCAAACGCATACACATTGCTTAATACACACATAATGTACAGCAATACGAAAACTTATTTACATATGAAAACAAATAAAGGTTTATAATGTTACAGAAATTATTAATTTCTATATAGATATAAAAACCACTGCTTCCAAGCCTCATCTCAGGGGGCTGTTTTCAGTTGATAAATTCTCATAAAATATAATGTTATTATTAGCAGTTGTAGTATTTATTATATGCATATTTATATTTGTTTTAAGAAAAACAAGTTTAGATTTGTCCACCTGATGGGTTTTGGAGACGTTTGTGTCACCATATAGAGCAGAAGAATAGGACGTGTGTTTGGATACAACTCAGTTTTTTGCCACACTACGTTATTAGTTTTTATTCATTCATTTGCTAGAAATTAGCTAAATAAAACTGAATTTAAAAATAGTTCTGAAACAAATCTTTGCCTTAACAAACAAAATTAAATGGGTAGGCTAATGGATGTCCTCGTGAATTGTGCACAACACCCTTTCCACGAAAGTAAAGGAGTAAAAAGTAAAAAAAAAAAAGAGAAAGTAAAGAGGTCAAATGAAGGAGGCTCGTTCTTTATCCTCGCGTTGCAGATGGTCTGTTTAACTGTTTGCTCTCCAGTGAAGTGGTTAGCAGAGCTTTCTACTAGTTTGCCAGAATGGGAGTATACTGTATTTACTAGTAATATTCACTACGAAAATTTGTAAATGTATGAAGGTTTTATTACAGAATGAAATTATAGAAGACTCAAATTTTAAATAGGAACAAAATCCTACCTTTTTTAAAAAGTGGTAAAAAGGTGGTAAAAAGGGGGGTGGAGGCAGGACTAATTTTATGTTCAGCCCACTTAAATTTGTACAACATTTGATCTTTTTGTGTTGGCACAACATGAAGGAATTGTGCTGAACCATGCATTGTGTACAGTGTTCTAAAGAATTATGGATTTTTTTGGTTTGAGTTTCAAGCAAACTGGAATATAACTTACCATACAGGTTGATGAATCGAATACAGCTCTCAACAACTCGAGGTATTGCTTGACCAGAGTCCTTAAAGCAAGACAAACATGGCATTAAATCAGAAATAACAAGTCCAGCTCACACCACACACCACATACAGTTGAAAACAAAACTATTAGCCCTGCTGTGAAATTATAATTACTTTTCCAAATATATATATAGGGGCTAAAAATTTTGACCTGAAATGTCTTTTAAAAAACGAAAACTGCTTTTATTCTAGCTGAAATAAAACTAATAAAATAAAACAAAAGAAAAAATATTATCAGACATACTGTAAAAATTCCTTGCTCTGTTCAACATGATTTGGGAAATATTTAAAAAAGAAAAAAAAAATCAAAGGGGGGTAATAATTCTGACTTCAACTGTATATGTGATGTATGTGACAGAAATAAAATGTAATAGTTTCATACAGTTTTTCTAAACACATTCCTAATAACTAATTTCTGTTGCCATTGCTATTAATTTAGTCTCCAACTGTAACTCCTATGTAAAAGATGACAAGGTAATCCTTCTTGAACCTCGCAGACCCTTTTTGTTTTTGTACCTTATGCTGTAACCGAAATAAAACTAAATGACAAATTAAATCTATGTAAAAACAGTTCTTGAACATGAATGGAAAAAACAGAAAAGGCCACATGTTTTACTGCTGCTGTGTGTGTCAAAGCGGTCTGTAATATTTGGCAGCGCTCAATCTTACAAGCTTTTTAAAAATGCTGTTATCTGCTTTTAACCCAGGGAATGTGCCAAGTCTGTGCCAGTGCCAGGAACACCAGCAGACCTTACAGCCACTACATTTGCCAGCTATGATAAGCGCAATAATATGGTGAATGCAAAAATGTGCTGCCCTGAACACGTTTAAATATTGATACTGTACTTCTGCAGCAAAAGCATAAATCATATTTGAAAATGCAGTGAATGCTGGAAAAGCAATCTGCAGCAGGTTTTCAATTATTTTATTTAGTTATTTACAGTGTATTTAGAGCACAGCAATACATAAGTACACCCACTTTTAAAAATGAATCTTTTTATAAATGTGTCAGTGAATATAGCCAATAATTGTTGCTGATTTAAACAAAACAGTTTTATCCATTAAAACAAAAGCTTGGTCATCCAACATCTTTAGGAATATAAACATAATATGCTTAACTTCAAATGAGATATTGCATAAAAAAATGATAAAAACATATAATTTTTTTATGTTTCTCTTGAGTTTTCCTGTTCAATACCTATTGGAGTTTTCCTCAATACCTTTTGCAGTTTTGTTCAATACCTATTGGAGTTTCCTTCTGTTGGACACAAAAGAAGATATTTTGAAGAATGTTGGATGCTGGGACTGATTGAATTCCATGGTATTTTTTTCC